AAAAAAGCCGGAAGTGGCGCTGTGGCTCAAGTGGCAGAGTGCTAGCCTTGAGCTGAAGAGCTGAGGGACAGCGCCCAGACCCAGAGTTCAGGCCCCACGACCGGACCCACCTCCCACCCCCCCAAAAAAAAATTCCATGAATAAAGGTGTTGACCTCATGACTTGATCCATGCAAAGGCTTCTCATAATAATATACATTGGTGATTACGTTTCAACATAGGAATCTGGGGAGTACACAGGCATTCATTCAGACCGTAGTACGTGCACAGAAAGCCATGGGGCATTTTGAAGTCTTGAGAAATCCAAAGAGTGTTCGCAGAGGAGGGAGATGTCATCCTGAGTTGTGATGTTGGTGAGAGAAGGGATCTAGTGGTGAGGATGGCTGGATGGCATGTTTCCATACAAGAGGAACCTGGTAAGAAGGAAGGAAAAAGAAAGAAGGGAAGCTGACAAAGCCTGGGCCTGAAGGAATCCTTTAGCCTTATAAGAATTCTGAGCATTTTCCTCTGAACAATGGTAGTGGCTGGTTTTATTTGCCTGTTAAAAATTATGTAGAATTAGATGCAGAGAATTTGATTACAGGTTAAAAATACAAACACAAAAACTAGCCAATCCTGGAAGTAAACAGAGAAGTGTAGGTGATCTAGCCTAAGATGATAGCATTGGGAATGGAAGGAAGTATGTGCATTCCAGAGATACTAAATTTTGACAGTTTTTCCCTCATTAGAAATTATTGATTTCTTTTTTTTTTCTTTTTTTTTTTTTTGTCGGTTGTGGGGCCTGAACTCTGGGCCTAGGCACTGTCTTTCAGCTCTTCAGCTTAAGGCTAGTGCTCTACCACTTGAGCCACAGCACCACTTCCAGCTTTTTCTGTTTATATGGTGCTGAGGAATTGAACCCAGGGCCTCATGCATGCAAGGCAAGCACTCTACCACTGAGCCATCTTCCCAGCCCTAGAAATTATTGATTTCTTAGTTGAATACAGTGAGTCATGCCTTAATCCCAGTTTCTTAGAGGGCAAAGATTGGATCACAGTTTGAAGTCAGTCTGGGCAAAAAGTTGATGATGATGATCCTAGCTCATAAACTCATCAAGCCAAGTGTAGTGGTGTACAGCTATGTAGGAGGCAGAGATAGATCTAGCCAGGAGCATAAGATCTTGAGTTCAAGCCATAGGACTTGCCAAAAAAGGAGGGGGCGGGGCAGGGGTTCTACAACAAGGAATGAAGAGAAGGAGGGAAAGAAAGAAATGTTCATCTATAATCGCATATATAATCTGTAGGGGTTTTGGGGTTTTTTTTTAGGTGGTGGGGGGCGGGGGAGGGTTGGCCAGTCTTGGGGCTTGAACTTAGGGCCTGGGTACTGTCCCTGAACTAATTTTGTTCAAGGCTAGCACTCTACCACTTGAGCCACAGCACCACTTCTGGCTTTTTTTGTTTATGTCATACTGAGGAATTGAACCCAGGACTTCATACATGCTAGACAAGCACTCTATCACTAAGCCACATTCCCAGTCCCCTCCTCCCCCCCCAAAAAAAATTCTGTGGTTTTTAAACAAAATAACGTATGTAACCAACTAATTGTTTCTGTTACCCATCTATATTTATTGGTTTTAATTAGGTTTATTGGTTGCCTAAATATCTTGCTATGAATTGATATTTATTTTGATTTAGCCTAAAAAGTGTTTGTTTTTAAGTTCTTCAGGATCTGCCTCAGTCTTAACACATAGCAGCTCGGGAAATAGCCTAAAGCGCCCAGATACCACAGAATCACTGAATTCTTCCATGTCCAATGGAACAAGCGATGCTGGTAGGGAGTCTTTGAGAACCCTTTCTTTCTTACAAACATTTTAGCAGCACAGTTTTAAACCCATGGAAAATGCTGTGTTCTGCTTTAGACCTTTTTGACTCACATGATGACCGGGACGACGAGGGGGAGGCAGGCTCAGTGGAGGAGCACAAGAGTGTTATCATGCACCTCTTGTCACAAGTCAGGCTTGGCATGGATCTCACTAAGGTAAGACCCACATCTGGCCTTTAAGTCTTACTGGGTAAATCAGTAGCCAACAATTGGGTGGTGAGTGTACTTGGGAAAAGTAGTATATTTTCTGTTTATATTTGCATCTTCTGATATGGTATATATGTAGATGAGTAAACTGGAAATTGTTAGGATGGATTAAATAAATGAAACTAGAATAACTTCATAGAAAGTAGTGTATGGATTAAGATTTAATTTTATTTGCAACAAATGAGAAATGGTATTTGGCTTTGCCAGTAGTTTGGGCAAAGTCTAAAGCAGTGTCTTGTACACAGAATCAAGATGAGCAGCCTTGTGGTCAAAGGACCTGTGTTGGTTACCTTTGCTAGTCAAACCAGGAGACTTTGAGCAGATCTTGTCCTCTGTGATTGCATGCAAAATGAACAGTGGCCCACTTCAGTAGGTTGTTGTAAGGATTGGAAAAGGTGGTTAGTTTAAAATTGTATGACACCTATTAAGTCATACTGTGACTGTGAATTTAAATTGCAAGCTCTCCATAGAATGTCTCATGGGTATAGGAGACTGTTGAGTGGTTATCTTTGTATATGCCTCTTTCACTTCTTACCACAACACTGCACAGTGTTACAAAAAGAAACTAAAGGGGCTGGGAATGTGATCTAGTGGTGGAGTGCTTGCCTAGAATACATGAAGCCCTGGGTTCAATTCCTCAGTATCATATAGACAGGAAAAAAAATGGAAGTAGTCCTGTGGCTCAAGTGGTAGAGAGCTAGCCTTGGCTCTGGGACTGTGCCTAGGCCCCGAGTTCAAGAGGAGGGAAAAAAAAGCCAGGCGCCGGTGGCTCACACCTGTAATCCTAGCTGCTCTGCTCAGGAGGCTGAGATCTGAGGATCACAGTTCAAAGCCAGCCCAGGCAGGAAAGTCCATGAGACTTTTATCTCCAATTAACCACCAGAAAAACAGAAGTGGCACTATGGCTCCAGTGGTAGACCACTAGCCTTGAGCTGAAGAGCTCAGGGACAGTGTCCAGGCCCAGAGTTCAAGCCCCACTACTGACAAAAGAAGAAGGAAGAAGAAACTAAGAGAAGTTAATAACAATATAACTGGATCATTTAAGAGAACTGAATGTCTAGTTTGTCCTGTGGTTTTTAAAATGTGGAGTCATTCCACTGTTGCTTTTGTCTTGAAGACTTGGATTATAGTAACTTCCATATTGATTGAATTATTATTCTACCCAGCTTTAAGAAGTTATTTAAATTTTGGATTTTTATCTGTTATGACAGAATCAAGCCCAGTACTATGGTTGTTGTCAGTAGGTAACTTGACTTAGTTTTAGATTTATAAGGCTAATTGCATAATAGATTCTCATAATTACAGTCATGTATCACTTAACTACAGGGAGGTGGCCTGAGAAATGTGTTAATAGGTGATTTTATCATCATAGAAGTATTGTAGAATGTGCTTACAAAGCCCAGATGATACAGCCTACCTCATACCTAGGTTATATTTTACTTTTATGGGACCACTGTGATGTATGCAGTCTTGCCTTTGAGCAGTTACGTGGCTCATAACTATGTAATAAAAACTTATTCCTAAATGTAAGTGAAAATAGACACACAAGAATAACAATAATTTTTGGATCCCAACATGCAGGAATGCATGAGGTAGGAGAATACATACAGGTAGCATATCCATATTGCTTTAATACGCCTTAGATTCGCATAACTTTGGCCCTGTGTTATTGGAAAAGATGTGCATTTCCTAGCATACTTCCCATTGAATCACATTGGCCCGAGCCAGGCATACATCCATATCTAAAGCAGTTACTGACAAGAATGTGTATGATTGGGTTAGATTAATCCACTCCCTCCCCATGAGACTTGGCAACCTATAGCCAAACCGGAACTGAATCAGAGTTCTGTTCGGGGTGAAGTGGGAAGTTAGGTAAACAACCAAAGATACTTTCTACAAAAAAATTTATAATTTTTACTTCATGTAATCTTCTTTTCCAGATAGTATTATTTGGTCAGTAGCCACCGAAAGCTTGTTATATTGCAAATAATGTTACAATTATTTTACTGAATATGTCAAAAATTAGCCATTCTAGAAATCTTTATTGACAAAAATGGCTGTGATTTCCAAGTTTCTGAAATTTATACCCATTCTAAAGTACAATTTTACAGTAATATCTTAAATTTGGATTATATTCTGTTTCTAAAAATGTTCCAGATATTTTCCATAGTTTGTTTTCCAAATGCCAAGAGTTTTGAACATATAACAAAGTCATATCCATTTATCTTCAAAATAATTGTAAGATATAACCACAGGATGTAATCATTCTTTTTTACCAGTATTTACAGAGGTTGAGTTAATTTTCCAGATTTTTCTCACAGTTAAGAAATTGTTCTTGGTTCTCAGTTCTCAGTTCTCCTTCATTGCTCTTCTAGCAGTTTGACATAATGGCATGGGCTACTTACTATATGTTAAAAACATTGAAGACCTGTTGAGTAAGAGCTCTCAGGAAAATTTATAAGTAGAAAAATTTGTTGGCTTACAGGTGAAATTAAACTTTTAAGATATTATTGGATGTTTTTTTCTTTCTTTTGACTTGCTAGCAAAATTCCTTTGTTCTATTTTCTACTAGACTTGGATCTTTTTTTTTTCTAAAAAATATATATTTTTTGTCAATTGTGGGGCTTGAACCCAGGTCCTGTGCACTGTCACTGAGCCCTTTTTGTTCAAGGCTAGTGCTCTGCTACATTGAGCCACAGCTCCACTTCTGGTTTTTGAGTAGTTAATTGGAGATGAGTCTCATAGGGACACAACTGTGATCCTCAGATCTCAGCCTCCTGAATAGCTAGAATTACAGGCATGAGCCACCAGCCACCAGCAAAAATTTATTTTTATTTATTTAATTTTTTTTTGTTATTTCTTTTTGGTACTAGGGATCGAACCTAGGATGTTGCACTAGCTATACAAGACTAAAGGGGTTTTAATTCAGTGTCATTTTATTATTATAATGAATCTTGTATAATCTTTTTCATGTTGATTTGTTAGAATTATTTATGTATTAAAGGTATGTACCCCTGTTTTGTTTTTCCAGTATTCCTAATTTATAATTTTTAAGTCCTCCAAAAAAATAGGATCAGTGTTTATATTAAGCTTTTTGCTGATCTAAACATATTTATGCTATAAATATACATATCTTTTGGGAAACCTGGAACCTGGATTCAGCCACCCAAGTTTGGAATACAGTAGCATCTATTGAAAGTTTCTTACTGTGTAATAGTAGCTTGAGAATGCTAGTATGAATAAAAGTCCTTTTACTGTAGGAATGAATCCAGTATTTTAAGATTAGCCCCAGAGTCAGACCCAGTTTCAAATTCAACATTTACAGTGAACAGTGAGAAAATTTCTTGTTGTATCTGTTCTTTTTCTCTACTATAATTGATTTTTTCATCATATGGCTGTTATGCAACTTGATAAAATAGTATGTACACAGACTCAATAGCTAGGTGATAGAGAAGAATTGCTGCTGTGTCGTTGTTATGCTAGTAGAGGAAAGGAACTTGAAAAGAGAAAGTAACATTTGAACATTCAAATCTCCCTTTCTGTTTTTCATCTGCTGGGCATTTCTGAACCAGAACAGTTTGGGAAATGATTGTAAGAAGATGCCTAGGAAATACGTGGGGGATGTCACTATTATTAGACTCAGAGGACTTTTTAGTGGTTCTTCCATCTGTTTAATCAGTGTATCAGTCATAGAATTAGACTTTCAAAAGTATCAAATGTGTGTTTTTCAGGTAGTTCTTCCAACATTTATTCTTGAAAGAAGATCTCTTTTAGAAATGTATGCGGACTTTTTTGCACACCCGGACCTGTTTGTGAGGTATTTAACTAAGTTGTTGCATAATAATTTTCTACCTTTGCTAGATAGATTCTTCTTGCCTTTTAAACATTTCTACTGTTACAAAAGCCATATTGAATATTGTATTGATATGGAATGCCTATTTCTGAGCTGAGGATCATTTTCCAACGCCATCCCAGGCAGGAAAGTCTGTGAGACTCCTAACTTCAATAAACCACTCAGAAAACCGGAAGTAGTGCAGTGGTTCAATGGTAGAGTGCTAGTCTTGAGTTGAAGAGCTGAGGGACAGCGCCCAGGCCCAGAGTTCAACTGACAAAAAATAAGTTCTTTAGGACTGGGAATGTGGCTTAGTGGTAGAGTGCTTGCCTAGCATGCATGAAGCCCTGGTTTCAGTTCCTCAGTACCACATACACAGAAAAAGCCAGAAGTAGCACTGTGGCTCAAATGGTAGTGTGCTAGCCTTGAGCAAAGAAGCTCAGGGACAATGCCCAGGCCTTGAGTTCAAGCCCCAGGACTGGCAAAAAAAAAAAAAAAAGGCAACTTTAAAGCATATTAAAGGTGGCTAACATTTCTAGGGTCAAAGCTAAGAGGTTTTTTGATTGAGACTTTGGCAAATACTATTAACTTATTTTTTGTACTATATCCTGATAATGTTCACTTAACTGAATTCAGCAAGCCTTTCTAAAATGCCTGTTGTTTGTCAGGCATTTTGCTATGAATTAAAATGATAATTCTAAGTATAACACTTGAAATAATAGCCATATGTACAGGGAAAGAAGTAGGGTAAACGTGGTATTGATTTACAAAAAGGAGCATTCCCATCTCTTCTCATTGGTAGTAGAAAAAATTTCTTATAATAGATACTGTCCTAATCTCTCATTTCTGTTTATATCACTTGACCTTGCACCGTATTTACTGAAACTATATAAATCACAAAGGTTGCACAGGGTATGTGCACACTAGTTAACACTGACATATATACTCCATTCTTGATAAAGATTTAAGAGAATGATTTAACTAGTTCCAAAAAGGAAAAAAAATTCAATGAATATGACAGTGTTGAAATTAATATGATCGAAGGTCAGACAAAATCCTAAGAGGCTCAGATTGCCAGCCTTGAGGGAAAAAGTTAAGCAAGCCCTGAGTTCAAGCCTCCAGTACTGGCACCCAAAAACAAAAAAAAAAGCAATTTAACAGATAAGCTTTGTTGGTAACATGCAAGGAAAAATGAAAAGTATCTGTTCATCACATATACATTTAAGGAAAATGAAAAGTATCTGTTCATCACATATACATTTGAAATTTAAAGTAGTTTATATTTGTGAGAATGTAAACTTTGTGTGGTCCCTAGGTAAACCACTTAACAAATTAAAAAAGTAGCCTGGCACCGAGACTCACCCTGTAATCCTAGCTACTTAGGAGGCTGAGATCTCAGGATCGCAGTTCAAAGTCAGCCTGGGCTGGAAGACCGTGAGACTCTTATCTCTAATAAAGCACTCAGAAAACCAGAAGTGGCGCAGTGGCTCATGTGGTAGAGCACAAGCCTTGAGCTGAAGAGCTGAAGGACAACATTCAGGCGCAGAGTTCAAGCCCAATGACCGACAAAAAAAAAAAATTAAAAAGTACAAACCAGACACCGGTGGCTCATGCCTGTAATCGTAGCAATTCAAGAGGCTAAAATCTGAGGATGGCAGTTCAAAGCCAGTCCGGGCAGGAAAGTCCATGAGATGCTTATCTCCAATAAACCCCCAAAAAGCTCAACGTGGAGCTGTGGCTTAAGTGGTAGAGCACTAGCGTTGAGCACAAAAGCTCAGAGCCAGTGCTCAGGTACTGAGTTTAAACCCCAAGACCAGCACCAAAATAAATAAATAAATAGAAGCACAACTAAGAAGCCAATGAAATGGAACACTTAAAATATCACATTGAAGCTAAGAGAAGCTGCAACAACCTTATAGCAAAGAACATAGACACAGACTCATTACCAGTTTGCCTGGAATCTTTACCACATGTGGCGTTTCTGCTCTAGCAAAACATGACACCTTTTCAGTGGGGACCATGTTACTTTTTTTTTTAACCAACTTATTACTTGAAACTATCATATAGCCTGTTTGCTGTGACAAGGCTATGATATATATTTTTTCCTAGTGGTATGATTTTAAATGACCTTATATTGTTTTCCCACTATCTAGATGATGGCTATTTAACTTTCCCCAATATGCTTCTTGTTATATGTGAAATAAATTTCTTATGATATCAAAAAAAATCACATTGATTTCCTAAAGGAGTAAAAGAAATAATGGAACAAGGAACATTTAGAAAACATCTTAAGCCTATCAAATCAAAATTTACACTAAATATAAGTAGAATACGCCCTCTATTTAAGAGAACACAAAGGTCAAACTTCATTTTTTAAAAGATGTATTATTTCAAAGGGAGAAACTTTAATAAAAGACACTGCTGGTTAAAGAGGAAGGATAGGCCCACAGATAGAGAGTTCACAGGTGAGGTGCCCACCTAGCATGCATGAGCCCTGGGTTCAATCTACAGTACTTCAGAGAAAACAAAAAGGTAAAGAGAAAAAGGTAGGCCGGGCACTGGTGGCTCACACCTATAATCTTAACTACTCAGGAGGCTGAGATCTGAGGATCACAGTTCAAAGCAGTCCAGGCAGAAAGTCTGTGAGACTCTCATTTCCAATAAACCACCAGAAATGGGAAAGTTAAGATAAAGTTACCAGAGGCAAGTAGAGTCATTTTGTAATAAAAGAATGAAATTTAATACTTATAAAGCGTATAGGTATGTGTAAACATAGCTTCAAGATACTTGCAGAAATTGGTGAGACTAAGTGGAGAAAGTTCCTGTTAGAACTGATTATTCTGCTTCCTAAGAAAATCAGTAACACTATAGGAGATCCAAACCTGAACCCAACTGACCTTTCTAAATACTACCAACAATTGTATAACATACTGCCTTTGCAAGAATACATAGAGGGCTGGGAAGGTGGCTCAGTGGTAGAGCGCTTGCCTCCCATGCCTGAGGCCCTGGGTTCGATTCCTCAGCACCAAATAAACAGAAAAAGCCAGAAGTATCACTGTGGCTCAAGTGGTAGAGCACTAGACTTGAGCTGACTTGCTGAGGGACAGCGCCCAGGCCCAGAGTTCAAGCCCCACAACTGACCAAAAAAAAAAAAAAAAAATACATAGACTGTTCATCAGGATAGACCATAAACTTAGAGGCCTTAACAAGTTTAAAGTGACTGCAGTCACACATAATGTATTTTCTGACCACAAAAGAATTAATTTGAAATTGATGATACAAGCTAGCCACCTGTGACTCACATCTATAATCCTAGCTACTCAGGAGGCCAAGATCTGAGGATCAAAGTTCAAAGCCAGCCCTTGAAGACAAATCCAAGAGACTTATCTCTAATTAACCTGCGAAACTTCAAAAGGGAGATGTGGCTCAAGTGTAAAGCACGGAGTTCAAGCCTGAGCACCAACACAGACACGCAAAAGAGAAAGAAAAGAATGATAACATATAAGTAACTCTACTTAGTAATAACATAGCACACTTAAATGAAATTCTAGAAAAAGCAACACTAAGTCATCTATGACACTAACCACTAGCAGTATTTATCTCAAGGAGAGGTAGTGATTGCTTCAAAAGGGGAAGAGGGAAACTTTTGAAATAATGAAATGTTCTATGTCCTGATTAAGTGATGGTTAAGTAAATGAATATAAACAGTTGCGAAATTCTTCTAACAAAACACTGAAATCAGTTGGTTTAATTACATACATTACAGCTCAATTTGAAAATTAAATCCATATACACAGTTTCATCCACCAATGGCTCAGGGTGGACCTTGCTGAGAGTCGCTGCGTCAGCTTGCATGCTGCCAGTAAAACATATCAGTACAGTTTGTCTTTTTCTCTTCCAGCATTAGTGACCAGAAGGATCCCAGGGATCGCATGGTTCAGGTTGTGAAATGGTACCTCTCAGCCTTTCATGCAGGAAGGAGGGGATCAGTAGCCAAAAAGCCATACAATCCCATTTTGGGTGAAATCTTTCAGTGTCATTGGACATTACCAAATGATACTGAAGAAAACACAGTAAGTTCCGTGCTATGATTTTAATTAAGTTGTATTTTAAATAAGTTGTATTTTAAATAAGTTGTGCTTAAGGGAGATAATAATGAATGCAATGATGAAAGATATTCACCAGAACTGGAGGTATGGCTCAAGTGGAAGGGCAACAGCTGTGAGAGGAAAAGTACAAGCGTGCAGGGCTCCAAGTTCAAACCCTGGTTCCAGTGCACAGACATGTGTGCACATACACATGCAGAGTGTTGTTACATGATCATAATGAGATGGAAAAAGAATGGAATGAGATGAGGATGGAGATTGAGAAGTTAGGCCACACAGCGTCTTGTACATACATCTTAATTATAATTTTGTGGCTAGTCAGAATTTTATTTTTGTTTTGAAAAGACTATTATAATGTCCAGGTCCCAGTGGATTGATCATGCCTGTAATCCTAGTTTCTCAGGAGGCTGAGACCTGAGGATTGCATTTGCAAAGCCAGCCTGCCTACCTCCAGTTAACCAGTAAGACATCAAAACTGGAGATGTGGCTCAGTGGTGGAGTACTAGCCATGAGTGAAAAAGCTAGTAGGTGAGAGCACAAGTCCCTAAGTTCAATCTCCAGTACTGGCGCCCAAGTGCCCCCCCACCCCCGACACATGAAAAATGTATTTAGGAGCAAGGAGAAAGGAAATACTTGGAGGTGTATACTTTAGCACTTGGTGGTGGTGTCATTTACTGACAAGGATTGGTGGGGGTGGGGGAATGAGACAAATGAGGAGGAGGGGGTAATGTTAGACAAGAAGCGTGCTACCTTACTTACGGAACTATAACTCCTCTGTATATCATCTTGACAAAAAAAATTTTCAAAAAAAATAGGATTGGACTTAAGGGAAAAGTCAAGAATGCTAATTTAAAATTCATGTCTAAGACTGTTAGACAGGTAAATAGAGCTGCCAGTTTGGAATTTCAGCGTGTGTACCTCAAGAGAGAAGTCGGAGCTGGAGATGGGACCTCTAGAGTTTATAGAGATAGCACCAGAAATTCCTAGATTTGTATGAGTTTTATGGAAGAGGACAGCCAAGACGGTCGAAACTCTAGGGGGTGACCCAGAGTGAGCCCTGGGGCTCCGGCATGTAGAGGTTAGTTTGAAGACAGTGACCAGCAAATACATGTTAAAAAGGCATTTAGGAATAGAAATGGAAAATTCCCTCATCCACAGCGCCTCGCACATAATCATCCTTTAACAAATGTTACTTTCCATATCTTTCTCATTCTAATTAACATTATATATGATCTTTGCTAAAGTTATAATCTGATCTTGTTTATTTGCCAGATATAAGTGCCTGTTCTGTGCCAGTCCTATCCCTGAGTTAGGCATATGAGCCTTTAAGAATGTCTTAGGGAGACCAACACAAAGCAGTAACTAAGTGCCATAAAAGAAATACACATGGAGTGTTTAGTGTTAGTAATGGAGGAAACAGAGGCTCTAGTTATCCGATTCTGCATGGTCATTTGCTCCCACAGCCAAAGAAAACAATGTTTTATTTTCTTGCAGGAACTAGTTTCAGAAGGACCAGTCCCCTGGGTTTCCAAAAACAGCGTCACATTCGTGGCTGAGCAGGTCTCCCATCATCCACCCAGTAAGCTCCCAGTTCCTCTGTAACGCCCACTATTCAAGCCATTCTGTATGAAGGATCAGTAAGAGCTCCTCAGCTCCTCAGTTGTATGATTAGCTACATGGTCCCTGTTATCTTAACTAGAAATTTGATTGATTCCTCTTACCTGTTCTTTGCATAAATTTTTAAAGACTCTTTTACCATCTCTGTATAAAAAGGGATTTGGTAACCATTGTTTAATGCTTCTAAACTCATTTTACACATAGTGCCATAGAATCTGTAGCAACTTTGAGCTAGTTTGTATAATCGGTGTGTAGTTGTTTTGCACAATATATCCTGGACACATACTCTGAGCATCTTTTTATTCGATATGGTATGAAGACTGGAGGTATTGAATAGGCCTACATCGAGGTGGCACATGGGTAACCTTACCAGGAGAAGAGATGACCCTTCAGATTTTAAACTCAGATTGGCTGCCACCTCATGTTTCAGGGTAGGTCTGGTCTACTTGGTTCTGAATGCTTGCTTTCAGTGGGGAAAAGGTACAGAAGGCAAGTACACACCTCATGGCTTAACTTGAAGCTGTTCTTTTAGGGGGTAGATGGTTTTCCTGTAGAGTCAGTTTTGTGCTGTTGTTTTAGCTTACATTAGTTATACAGAGAGGAATTTGATACATTTCCACAAATTTACAATATGCCCTTTGAGCCAGTTTCTTCTGGTCATGTAACTATAGATCTCTAATGCATTAATGAAAAAACATTTTCTATTCAGTTTCAGCTTTTTATGCCGAGTGTTTCAACAAGAAGATACAATTCAATGCTCATATCTGGACTAAATCAAAATTCCTAGGGATGTCTATTGGGGTGCACAACATAGGGCAAGGTAAGCCTATGGACATTAGGTTGATTATGTTCTTTGTTGTTGGCCCCTGAGGCTTTACGTCAGGACCTGGATGCTGTTCCCGAATTGTTTAGCTCAAGGCTAGTGTTCTACCACTTTGAGCCACAGTGCCACGTCTAGTTTTCTGGTGGTTAATTAGAGATGAGAGAATCAGATTTTCCTGCCTGGGCTGGCTTTGAACTGCAATCCTCAGATCTCAGCTTCCTGAGTAACTAGGATTACAGGCATGAGCCACCAATGCCCAGCTTAATTATAATGTTAATATGTGCTGGACACTTGGAAGGAAAATGGCCCCAGAAAGCCAAACTGGATGCCATGGTTTGTGCTTAAGCATGTGTATTAGGTGAGGTGAGGTGGGGTACAAACCAGGTCATCCCTAAAATGAATGGAGTACCCATCAACCAGAACCTTATGGCCAATTGATACCAGAGATTCTGCTTCTTCTCTCCTCAGGTTGTGTCTCATGCCTAGACTATGACGAACATTACATTCTCACATTCCCCAACGGTTATGGAAGGCAAGTAGACCCTACTGTTCCATAAATCATGCTCTTCTCCTTCTTCCTGTCAGCCTTACCCAAGCATTTTTGATTTTGCAGGTCTATCCTTACGGTGCCCTGGGTGGAATTGGGAGGAGAATGCAGTATTAATTGTTCCAAAACAGGCTATAGTGCAAATATCGTTTTCCATACTAAACCTTTCTATGGAGGAAAGAAGCACAGAATTACTGCTGAGATTTTGTAGGTATTTCGTTTTCTACCTCGGTGCTCTTCCATTTTTCTGAAATACTTTTTTTTCCCTTAAACTTGTCAAAAACTGACCATTTTGATAGTCTTGTCTTTGTAAACGTGTTTACAAACGTGTTATATGTCAGTCTATTCCTAAAATCCGGTATTAAAAGAAGACCTAAATGATCAGAGGCCATGGATGGGAACCTAATTATCAGTGGAAAACTAGGTTTTCCCTAGGTTGCCTATGTCACATAGACCACGTATCATCTCCCAAGTCTTCACAATGCTTCCCATGCTTTTGCTGGGTAAAAAGAGGAACCATCACAAGTAGCAGGCATTTATTTGGCTTGGTTCCAGGAAAGATAGCTGTGTTAATAGGTGATTGATGGGTTCCCGGCCAACCTGAAAGAGCAGTCTGCAGTGTTGAGACACCGGTTTTTCTCTTCCCAAAAGGCCTTGTTGGGAACTATATCTAAGATGGGAGATGCATGACGGGTTAATGGGCTTTCTAAGGGAATTTAACTGGAGTAACAAAATCAGCATCCACAAATCTTGAGTAGGATGGAGTGGGTCTTGAACATAAAATGGAGTTTACTAAGAAACAGCATAAAATAGAAATAAGAAAAAAGGTTTGCAGTAGGAAAATATGGGCAGAGCTTAGTGAGCAGCCTAGTTCACATGGTGACAGCCACTCCCTAAACGTCAGTTGATAGACATAGGATATTCAGAAAAGATATGAATGGGCTTGCTCCTCAGAACTCGAGAGATGGTAACTAATGGCTACAGGAACTGCTAGCTCAGCAGAATTTTCTACACCCTCAGTTGTAAGTTCAGAGCCCCTGGTAGAGTACTTAAAATTTGAGGTTTGAGCAATCAGATAAAGTACTACTTTACATGGGTCACACTCAACCTTTTTCAATTCTGGATCCCTTTATTAAGAACCACCCAAGAGGGCTGGGAAGGTGGCTCAGTGGTAGAGTGCTTGCCTTGCATGCCTGAGGTCCTGGGTTCGATTCCTCAGCACCACATAAACAGAAAAAGCCTTAAGTGATGATGTGGCTCAAGTGGTAGAGCGCTAGCCTTGAGCTGAAGAGCTGAGGGACAGTGCCCAGGCCCAGAGTTTAAACCCCATGACCGACCAAAAAAAGAAAACCATCCCCCAAGATTTTTATGTTGGTTTAGGGAATCTACAGCTCATTAGCATTCTGTTCAGGGCTCTCCTTCTCACAGTAGACCTGGCAAATCCAGTTCCATTGCGCTGCTTTCACTAAAGGCTTCATAGTCATTCTGTGTTCTACTCTTTGTAGATAGCTACACTGGCCACACTATTGGGCAGAATAATTTTCACTTTGATACTAACACAAAATGTTTCCTTTCCTGTCTAGTTCTCCAAATGACAAGAAGTCGTTTTGCTCAATAGAAGGGGAATGGAATGGTGTAATGTATGCGAAGTATGCATCAGGGGTAAGAACCTATGTTTTGTCACATTTTAAACTACAGTGAATTGTCCCTTATTTTTGCTTTCCTCATATGGAACCACTGAGACCAGCTCTAAAAGTCATCTCTTCAGGGCAAGCCTTTTACTTTCCTTTCCCTGTCTTCTAATAGTGCAGTTAATAGTATGATCTTTTATTTTTTTCTCTCAAAACAGAACAATGTATGTAAAACAATAGCTGGCACTTAGTAGTCACTCAAATGTTGTATATAAAAGTGTGATTTTTGTCAAACCAAGGGCTAACACTAATTTGCATTTTGTTCATATGCATTGTTTTAAGTTACTGACTGCCTCTCAGTAGGGATAAATAAGTAATAGTCCTGCTATCAAGAAACTTTTATTCTGTATAACACCTATGAAGTGATTTCATTAAGTCAGAAAGAAAGGGGATCTGAGTAATAGAACTGATGAACTAGATTTTGGAAAGAACTTGCAAAATATAAAAAGAAAAATCTGCAGACAGGCTGCTTAATGTGGATTTGTTGCAAGGGGTCTAGCTCCCTAAGGAATTATATCCCTAGCATGTATCCAGGTTGGAATGCCAGACCTGTGGACCTTCGGCACAACTGCAATTTAGGTTTAAGACTACATATGAAACTATGGCCTTAAGATACTTGGGATTTATCTGTCAAAGTCTTCTGGAAGGATTGACTTTCCTCCAATAATTTTGAATAAGAGACTTGTCTACTTTTGCTTTCTAGGAAAACATGGTCTTTGTAGATACCAAGAAGTTGCCTATAATCAAAAAGAAAGTAAGGAAGTTGGAAGATCAGAATGAATATGAATCACGCTGGTAAGGAAACATAACCGGAACAGTCGCTTAGTGCTTACCCAGTGTCTAAACATAGCTTAATACAGACTAAGCTCAAATGATTGAATTCCTTTGTTAGGACCAAGCACTTTGTAGCTTTGTAACCATTAAAATTTGCTTCCTGTGCTGCAGTAGGAATAATCTTGAAAGAAAGCCACATCTTATACCCATAAGCCTTTCCAGCTAACCTTTTGGCCCTGTTAAAAATCACATTTTAAATGTTTTTTTCTGAAATAAAATTTAGCCCCTGAGATCTAGCCTTGAGTCCAAAGCTGCATAGTAGAGCCAGAAGTAGACTCCCAGATCTCAGCTGAATGTTCTTTCTCCTCTGTTGTCCTTATCCTATGTCTCTGTTCCCTTATTCCCTTTGGTAACTAGCAGAGGACTCTTCTGGGCTTTTTTTTTCCCCCACTAGCTTTTTTCTTCTTCCTACAGCACTTAAAAGCCATTCGATTTTTTAGTTTTTTTGAGTTATGTTATATTCAGACATAGCTGTAGGCATTAATTCTCAAGAGTGCCAGCTTCTCTTGATCTCTCTTCTTTAGCCTTTGGAAGGATGTCACTTTCAATTTAAAAATTAGAGACATTGATGCAGCAACTGAAGCAAAGCACAGACTTGAAGAAAGACAAAGAGCAGAAGCCCGAGAAAGAAAGGAGAAGGAAATTCAATGGGAGACAAGGGTAAGCTTCTACCTCTCCTGTTATTCCCCCCTGAACACTGATGTATACAGTGAACGCTGAAGAAGTAAAGTATCAACCACTATTTATGAATGTGTTGTTCTCTGGTCCCTACCTGAAATTCAACCATTGACATGAAAGAATACATAATGTGTAAGTACAAAGGAAATGTAACAAAATTTTCCGTCTCTCTTCCAGTTATTCCACGAAGATGGAGAATGCTGGGTTTATGATGAACCATTACTGAAGCGTCTTGGTGCTGCGAAGCATTAGGTTTGGGAAACACAGAGCTTGCACCTGATGACCAGGGTAGTAGGCATAAATAACTAAGCAACAATCTTCCTTTGGGAGAACCTATCACTCCCTTCTTATTGCAGTGGTTCCTATCTCAGGGATACTGGACTTTCCAGCGCAGATGAACAATTAAAACAGGAAAAGCCTCCCATTTTTTTTTCCTCTGTGGCAGTTAAAATTTTGACTTCAGTCTTGAGCAAAACTATAGGTTTTGAAACAAATCCCATGCTTTTGAAAGCATTTATGAACCCAAGTCTCTCACTCTGCACTCTAGTTCCAATGTTAGACATACAACCTGTTTCCTAGGTCATATAATCTTGGGTTCTATACATATACATATATACACACATATATATATATATACACACACACACATATTCGCACATATATAAATCTGATGACAGTTTTTTCGTAAATACTTCCATTTCTTGTAAATACTGGTTCCTCTGAATTTAGATAATTAGCGCAATGTATGAAAATCAAGTGTTAGGAAATTTCATGATTTCTCCTATAACGACTTTTATTTTGGAAATGAACTATTAAATTGTACCTAACCTGGATTACAATTTAATTATATTCAATGCTTCTTTAAGGCTTCATAAAGTATTTTCCAACCTTTTTAAAACAATGTGTGCTGCTTTTATTATCTTTTGTTAGGGTTGCCAAATAATTGGCTTCCAAGTTTGACCACAGGAGATAACTTTCCTTATATTCTGACTTAAGCTATTATCATACTGTTCCTCCCAGTAATATTTTTTTGCCTTCTAGGACTTAGGAGTATATCTACCCCACAGTCAAATGAAACAATAAAAAAGAATGCCACAGGCAGCAGATGGCTCATTCTGGAGGGAAATACAGAACTATCTTTATTTAAAAATAATTTAAAAAAACAACAGGTACCTAGCACGTAGGTACTTGAACAAATGGTTACATAAAGAAACTCTCCTGAGGACAGCTTTGCAATCTCAAATGTCTGATCACACTTGGCCCACCCAGTAATTTCTCTGCCAGGTTCCTGCAGTAACCCTGGATTTATTAGTATTCATAAATCAAATTCAGGAATACCAATGTGAAAATCCATTGAAAGCCCTAAGGCCGAAGTAGTGTACAACTCCATAAAATACAAACAAATCTTTAAATACACATTGCTTCAGGCCAACGAGACTGCAGTTTATTGGACTATTTTATGGTAGGGGAGAAGGTTGAGTGTTGCTGTAAAAGCCCTGATATCAGTAATGGGGATGGTAGAGTCTGCCAACAGAGGAGAGGGTGGCAGGTAGGCCAGCTGCATCCCTTCACAAGAAGAGTTGGGATCCTCACCAGAAGAGCTACCATCCTCTTCCAGTTCATACTTTCCATATCCAACAACCTGAAAGAAAAGGCTCAAGGTGAGAAGTATACCATCAGATTGGGGCAAAGACAACCTAAACTCAAATAAATGACAAGACTGGAAAGAACTCACATGAACGCTGAGCATTTTACTTCCTGATCCTCTATGAGCCTTGAACCAGTTGACTAAGTCTAATTTTGAGAATGACTTCAGTGCTTCAATCTTAGAGGAAGGGAAGACAGAAAAAAATCTTAAAAAAATAACTCCCAATCACTTGGCATCTGAGCAACTTTAATTCTTCTCCATCTCATCTTGCCCCTAGCCTTCCAGAGAAAGATAAAGATGAGCCTCTAAAACACCACCTTTCTATTTTTGTAGTAAGTAAGCAATACTGTAAAGGAAGCCAAATACCATATCCTGAGCCAGAAACCCAAGTGTTACCTCATTTTACATTGTATACTTTAGATGAATTTTATCTTGCTTCATTAAGAAAACTGGGAGTGAGCTGGCTTGAACAAGCCTTTTCTTTTTAATAAAGTCTTGTTATCTCTAGCAGAACCCTCTTCCTCCTCCACAAAACCTTATAGTCAATCTCAATAAAAAGCAAATAGATGGAGGAGTATGTGTGTTAAGGTTTCATATGTGCTCATACAGAGGCAAATAAGCAAATAAACCAGGTCAGCATAAATGTCCTGGGTTTCTCTTCCACACAATACTAGTTTGCACATTAGATAAGGCTCTATGAAGTTCACCAGGGCTGTCTTGCTCTAAAAATCATACCTCATGGGCAAGGCGGTCAAAAAGATACTGCTGTGTCACTACTTCATTCCAGTTCCTGTCTACCTCTTCCCCAAGGTGAGTATCCTCGCACTCTTTGAGCTTGATCAGAGCTGTAACCTGTTCCCACCAAAGAGATACATATTCAAACATCATGTTGGCACCAAATCCCCCAGAACAAACCTGACTTGTAATAAGCCTGTCTGGCATGGGGTAAGGGAGGTGGCTAATGGGTCATGTCAGATTGTATGGACTACAAAGCTCAAAAACTGGCCAGCACATAAGGACTGTGAAGACTGGTACTGTCACCTGGGTATTGAATGCCTCTTCAGTGAGGTTCTCAATCTTCTCCTCAAAGCTGGAAAGAAACTCTTCTATTTTCTTATCAACAACTTCAGAGCTGAAACAAATGAAAAGTTACCAGAGACTTGATCTCAGGCAGAACTCAAAGGTAGGGTGAGGTAGGACTAAGGTGTATTCTTAAGAAAAAAGCTGATATGTCTCCCAAAGCCATATAACTGTACCCTAAACCAGAGAGGAAAGAGAATGGGGAAAACCTCCCTCTCCCAAAACCTGCAGCCCAGTTTCCTAGTACCCTCATACTGAACTGGGCCTGGCCATTTCAAAACTAAAAACTAGCAAAGCCTTACACCTCAGTTCTAATCTGAATGGCAAGTCAGGCATCTTCACCTTTTTTGGCAAACCCTCCAGAAGGACTTGATCTAAATACTGTGAGACCTTCATCAGTACTAGATCAAGCCATCTCCTCTCCCATTCCCCCGCCAAGAACTAGCACTGCTTGGTCAGAATCTCCTAAGAGTTAATAAGAAGGTACTTATAGCTCCCCACCTTGGTCCAGAAAGAGCAGTATGGACCTGCCCACTTCCTTTACTTACTTGTATTTCGTTGCCTGGGTCCCCACAGTGACAGAGAATCCTAAAATCCCAGATGTATTCCTACAGGTTGGGTAGACATGATACCTACAGCCAGAGTGAAAAGTCACATGAGCTCATGTGGACACCTTGTCCTGTCCTCCAAGGTATAAGATATGAAGAGGGAAGCCTTCCACCTATCCTTAACTGGATGGATCTGGAGGGTTAAAGAGGCAGCTACTTCTTCAGGTCAAAGTGTCCACTCCAGTGCTGAATAGGGGACCACAAACTAGCTTTCCCATGCTCATCCTGAAACCTGAACAAACTGAAGGCCTGACCATAATCCAAAACTCAAATTTTAGAAATTCTGACAATAGTAACTTGAAAGGCTGCTTAGTCAGGATATCTCATCAACTTTAGCCTGCAAAGCCAGGACTACACTCTGAAGAGTTCAGTGCCAGCACTTACCCAAGAGTCTGCTTGGTTCGGAGGAAGTCAAAACAAGGTTCTTCCATATGCATCTGTAATTCAATATATTACTCAGCCCAATCTGAAGTCTGAAGCAGAGAAACCTCTATTTCTTGCCCCTGAGACATTCATATAATACCTCCAGAGTCCAGCATCCCTTTTTGCCTTTTGCCTAAATGGCTGCAGTCACTTAAAAAAATGACCACGATTACCTTAATGATCATCTCTTATTCCAATCAAAGATCACTGACCACCCCAACCCCAAGGCAGAAACTCTGGGCCTCACAGTGGGTCAGAGGTTCCTGAACACACTGACTGCACACGTACTTACCACGAGCAGCTCCATAAGAGTATATTCGCGTAGACTCCTGGGACCTGACTGAAAGGAGAAAGAGACCAGATCAACTGAATATTAATGGCTTTTATTAATGGCTTTTAATAATCTAGCTATCCTTGACAATAATTGTTGAACAATTTTATCTGTCTTCTCATTAACCTGCAGGTCTGAGAACAGGAATCATGTTCTATTACCTGTATTCCCAGCACTAACATGGAAGTACACATAAACACACAAGTGAATCCAATAATATTTAACCTGCCAACTCCTGCCTGGAGGATCCAGGAAACCTACAGGACACATTGTAAACTCAAGTACTTGTAGTGCGAAGCCCTTAAGAGTACAACAGGGTATGTTTTGAGATCATGAAGCATTATTTAGAGTATTCCTCAAATGAAGAAACAACAGGAGCTTCTGAAGTCATCCATACTCAGAGAAACAGCAGTTGATCAGAAAAATACCCAAGAGGCAGATCAAAAGACTCACTGACTCATTAAGATGATGTAGGGTAAGGTTCGGTAAATTTACTTAGAACACCAGCTAAAAAGAATAACAAGAAAAGACTCAGGCCCAGGGCCAGAAAGGGACAAGTTCACAAGGCCATGTCTCGCAACATTCAAAACAGGGATCTTCACAAAGCCTGACAGGGAAGTGACTTCATGCAGAGAACCTTGGACCACAGTGGCAAGTCAGGGGATCAGGGTGGAAAGGCATAGATTCAGAGATCCTCATAATTCTAGAAGTAAGTGGGGCTAGTCACAGCCTAAAGCAGGCTATGATGAGCAACTGGAACTGCTGAAAGGTATTTATTTAAAGCTCTCCCCTCCCCCACTCCAGAATGGCAAAGAAAGAATCTAAAAACAGAACACATATCTGAAAATGGAATACATTTCCAAGACTGAACCTTAGGTTTGTCATTTGTGAAACAAGTAATAAATCCTTCCAGATAAACCTGTATGGCTCTTGTAGTCATTGTTTGGTTGTACTTTTCTTTCAAAACTGTTCTTTGAGCTACTCAGGAAGCTAAAGGTCATGATTTAAAGCCAGCCAGGGCAAAAAAGTCCATGAGACTCTTCAACTCACTAGCAAAAAGCCAGAAGTGGAGGTGTGGCTTGAGCAAAAAGGCCAAGTGAGAGAAAGCATGAGGCTCTGAGTTCAAGCCCCAGTATGCCAAGCACAACATAACAATTACAGTAATAATGATGATGGTTCGCTGATTGATGAACCAACACCTCATTGTAGTCAAAAAAGATTCTATTTTACCGTTAAGCAAATTTTTAAATGTGGATACTTGAAGAGGACAGATGGCTCCAAACAACACTGTATAGGTTTGGGGGCTGGGAAGGTGGCTCAGTGGTAGAGTGCTTGCCTCACATGCATGAGGCCCTGGGTTTGATTCCTCAGTACCACATAAGCAGAAAAAGCTGGAAGTGGTGCTATGGCTCAAGTGGTAGAGTGCTAGCCTTGAGCTGAAGAGCTGAGGGACAGTGCCCAGGCCCAGAGTTCAGGCCCCAGAACTGGACCCAAAAATAAAAATAAAAAAGAATCTAAACAGAAAGCCCAGAAATCCTTCCTTGAATTCACACCTATAGAACTGCAACCAGAAATGGATATTGCTTTAAGCAATAAATTTCTACTAACACCAAGAGATTAATATAGCTGCTTATAAAAATCACAGGCTGGAAGTGGCACTGTGGCTCAAGTGGTAGAGTGCTAGCCTTGAGCTAAAGAGCTGAGGGACAGCGCCCAGGCCCAGAGTTCAGGCACCATAACA